GACCCCTGCGGCGTATACTGCTGCTGGTGCTGCTGTTGCTGGTGCTGGTGCTGATGTTGCTGCGCATGCTGATGATGCTGGTGTTGAAGCGGCCCCTGCCCCTCCAGCGGCGGCACCGCCCCACCACCACCAGCAGCAGCGCCGGCATGGTACCCGCCGACGGCATCCTGCAGCCCCAACCCAAGCGGATTCAAGCTCAGCGCCGGGAACGGCTCCAGCTCCCCTGACATGCTCATGTAGCTGCCGGTGTTGTACACCCCCGCGCCCACGGCTGACGACGTGACCGGTAGGGTGGGGAAGGTCGTCGCCTGTGAGTTGAGGCTTTGGAAGCCCTGGTGGGGGTGGTGGGGGTGGTGTTGGTGGTGGCCCATGGATGGGTGCAGATTGATCTGCGGCGGCTGGGCCATGCCATTACCGAGGTCGTCGTAGGTCGGGCTGCTGCTGTGGCCGTGGTACAGCGCCGGTGCCGGGTAGGCTTGTGGTTGTGGCTGCGGCGGGGGGATGGGGTACATGACCAACGAGGGGTAGGTGGGCATTGGGTGGCGGGCTACGGTGGGGGATGGGCCGCTGAAGGGCGGGTGGGGGTCGCGGGGCCGGGGGGGGAAGGTGGTGGGGAAGGAGCGCGGGGGCGGTTCCTGGACGGGGCTGATGATGGTGTCTTCGTCGAGCTCCTTTTTAGCGACGAGTTTGAGCACGGGGAGGCTGATGTGCTCCATGTGCTTGGCCAGGTGAACCGTGAGCTTCTTCCACGAGGGGAAGGTCCTGCCGCAAAACCGGCACGGCTCGTGCTGGGGCAGCTCGGGGGTCTCTTGGTGGCACTGTTCGACCTTGGCCCAGGTCGGGTCGATGCCGCCCGCGCGCTTGATGGCGGCCTTGGTCTTGACCTTGGGCTCGACAAACTTGTGCTCGCGGACGAGATGCTGGAGGAAGTTGTCGCGCCGGTAGCACTTGTGGCGGCAGTCGTCGACGTCGCAGGTCCACCACTCGAGGTGGCGGTGCCCTTCGTTCTCGTGACGGACCCAGTCGGCCTTCCTCTTAAACATCTTGGGCTCCTTGCAGCGCTCCCAGGTGCAGGTGAAGGGCTGGACGTCCTCGTGCACATGCTTGGTCCAGTCAGACGGCTTCTGGAACTTCTTGGAAGAGAAGCACAGCTGACACTCAAACTCTGCGGGGAGAGAGGCGGTGGGCGGCATAGGGATGTCCTGAGGAAAACTGTCCGGGTTGATGGCCCCTTCCAGTGGTGTGATGTCACCGTCCGAGCCGTCATATCCGGCAGACAGGGGGTCTAGGCCGCGCTGGTCACCCTTCGAGTCCATGACGTTGGCGCGACCTCCAAGGGAAATGCACATTGTACCGCAGGAGCAGTTGTTGGCGGCGATCGCCTGTAGGTGCTTGACCCTGAGGTTGAGAAGTAACTTGTACCGGATGCACTGCTGGTGGGCGATGCGGTCGACCAGGTAAGTGTTGGCGCTGGCCAGGAGAGGGTTCAATTTCACGACGTGCTGTTGGAAACCAGGAAAGTTGGGCGCAATGTCGTCAATGAGCTTGGTCGACTCAGCCTTCATGTCTGCGTCTTCGTACAGGTCGTCTTCCTCGTCCTCCTCATCGTCAGCCTCATGGGCGTTCACCTTGGTGTTGTGAAGGTTAGACACGGGCGGACCGCCTGTCCTCTTCCACATCTCGACAATGCCAGAGGTGTCCGACTTGCTCCGCAGGCGATTCAGGGGCTTCTTGACACTCAAGCTAAGACCACTGGGGCTCCTGGGCGAGGCGATTGGGGTCGCGCTGACTGAGCTGGTCCGAGCATGGGTCGCACCAATGGATGCGACTCTGCTTCCAACGTCGATGAACGCGGTGTTGATGCTCGGAACGCTTTGCTTCCTGGACCAGCCGGGCTTGGGGCTTGGAGGAGCGAGCTTGGCCTGCGATTCCTTGCGCTCCGCCGAGGACTCGGTCTTAAGAGAGCTGGCATCGTCGGCATCGGGGCGGTTACGCTTGCCCGAGTTGCTCGGTTTCCTGACGAGGCCGCGAAGACCATTGAGAAGACTGGGCCGCCTTGTATCTCCCCGGTTCAGGGACAGTTTCTTAAACAGATTGCCAGTGATTTGGACCTCATGGTCTGCGAGGCTGGGCAAGCTGAGTCGCCGTGTTCCCCAGGTTGCTGCTCTTGACACGATGGAATCAGTGTCCCGGCACATCCGCTGGTATCTTTCAATGGCAGCTTGGGAGGTCTGGGGTTGATAGGCTGTGGAGTCCTGGTCCGGCTGAAAGATGGGAAAGGGGACAGGGGCGTCGTCCCAGTTGCGGGCCTGGCGCATAATCTCCAGGTCTTGGTGTGTCAGCTCACCCCCAGTCTCTGTCAAGTACGTCTGACCAGGCACTGGTTTGTTCTCTGTCATGTCGCCCATCGATATCTCCCGAGGGGATATCTGGTCATCTCCGTCATCCGGGACATCCACAGACTGCTCCGGGCCGTGGTGACTAGAGTGCCTCTCTAGCCAGTCACCGACTTCCATGTTCCTTTCATCCCGCTTTCGCCGCTTTTCCAAGTCGTTGATGCTGTCGACTTGGGTCGCGGACCGGGCCGGAGGGTCCAAGCCACCCTGCCCGGTGACCTGATCCGCGATCCACCGACCCGTGCTGTCGCGGGCCGCTGAGAAAGCCGGGTGGCCGTGTCCCTGGGTTTGCTCGGCAGCCAAGGCAAGGGATCCTCCGCCATTGTCCCTGTCCCAATGGGAGACTGTGACACGAGGGCTTTGCATGGCGGCAGCCGGGGCGGTGCCGTCGTCGCTTGATTCGGCGCTGGTGTCGGTCCTTGGGGTCAGTTCGAGAGCGGGGTGCGTGGCCACTGGTGCGGGCGATGACTCGTGGGTGAGTGACAGTTCCCGAGGCGAGACAGAGGTCCGGGACAGGTCTGGAAACACGGCACGTGCAGCGGCTTCTTCGGTTGTCTGCCCGCTTGGTGATCCTCCTGGCAGCGAGGGGCTCTTGTCGGGGCTCAGCGGGAGGTAGGGAGCGGTGCGCTGCACATGCTGTATGTTGGAGGGCGCTGGTACTTGGACGCCGAGGCCATCGACAAGCGGCGCGTTCCCATCAAACGGGAGCAGACCGTCATCCAAAAACGAAGGGGAGGCGCCGTCGAGGGAATTGAAGTTGACGCCGAAGAAGAAGGGGTCGTCGGCCTCGCTGAACTCGCTGGACTGGTAGTGGATGCTGAGGGTGGACACGGACTCGGCAGGCGTGTGCGTGTTCAGCGCGGGCGAGGCCGAGTTGCTGCCGAGTTGTGGTGAGAAGGGGTTGAGGTATTGAGGATCTTGTGGCGGGAGGTTGCGGGGTTGCTCAAGCTGGTCCTGGCGGGTTGTGGAAGTGTCAGGGCCAAGCGGGTACAAGGTGTAAGTCGAAGACATGGTTGCAGCGGAAGGCCAAGGTGGCCCGGTGAGAGCGCGTATATATTTGTGTGCCTGGGGGGTTGCCCCTGTTCAGTGTAAGGAACCCGGGTGTGGATGCGATGCGCAGCTCCCGGATCTTGGGCGTGGGGAGAGATTAGGCGACAGTCATGGCCAGGTGCGGCTGCAGCGCGGCGGGGTGAGGCACGAGCTGAGAAATTGCGTCGCAGTGAGCTGCACTCTTGCCTGGCAGTTCCTGGTCAGAGGGATCGTCGCATGAGGGGGGGGATAATGTTCAGGAAACAAGCGACTGTCGGATAGTGCTTGAGAAAAAGGAGCGGACGGGCGAGGGAAGCAGTTGGGCTGTCTTTGGCGCGGGATGATGTCTTGGTCGGCGGGTTGAATCGAGCCGCCTCGTCTAGTCTAGTCCCTGGATGGGGAAAATGGGGGCGAGGCGCAGGGCGGCTGCGCTCCCGAGCCTCGAGCTAACTAGCGCTTAAGGTGTCCAGGGTGAGTTGTGGCTGATCAGAAGCCGGGAAAGAGAGGGTCGCAAGCGATAAACGGGTGCGACAGAAACAACTCGAGACTTAATTCAGAGCAATTGACAACAATTTCAGATTCGAGTAAGACGAGCGCCGTTCAGGAACCAGGCCCCGAGGGAGGCAGCCCACAGGATTTGCGAAAGGATGGCCGTTTGACCGAGCAACCACCACAATCGATGGGCGGAGGGCGACCTGCAGTTCGCCCGTTGTTTTTGTGAGCCACGGACCTTAATGTTCGGTGAAGCTGGCCATCAACACGATGTTTGGGTGCGTGAAGGCTTTCCAGCCACACCGGGAGAGTGCCCGCGGTTCCGCCTGGAGGCAGCAAGGCCCATCCGACCACAGCCGACCTCAGGGCTCTCAAAAGGACCCACAGTTCGCTCCGGGGAAAGAGAGAAAATGACGCTCGTCCCGTGGGCTCTTGAGACCGCGTTTCTCCTCGCGGATGCTCGTTTGGTTGGAGACTTCGTGATTGGCGAATGTTTGCTGCTTGGTGAACCGCTGCTGAGGCTGTGCAATGGTCTTGCTGACTGGGCAGAGCGGTGGGCGGAATTGAGGACCCCGCCTTCGCTTGATGTGGAACGTGCTGCGGCTCCATTGTGGGTGGGGTCGGAGACACCCACTATCGACGAGGCTTTCGCAGTCCCTATCCAACAGCGCGGCCTTGAGGGCAAGGCAGTTTCCATCCTTGCATCAAATACTGCGACCATGCATCCAGTTTCGTGCCCTTCAGCTTGATGCGATCTTATTTGTGCCAGCGAATGCTCAGTCTGGTCGGCATCTGCCTCGGCAGGCCAAGCACCCCTGGAGTTGTTAAGGCTGATCCCTGCACCGTCCCTTTGATGGTGCAAGCTTATTTCAGCCTTCCCAAGGCCCGAGGGAGGGATCGAAGCTTCGAAGCTTGCTGCATGCAAATCACCCTGTTCCACCAGCACAGCCACGTTGCTGTCTATCCACCTGAGACTTTAACCGCCCCCGGTCTTCGTACGACGGCATGGACAACAAGCAACAAGAAAGAAGAGAGAGAAGGCTGCTCAAAAATGAGCCTATTGACATCACCAACAGGGCAAAACGATCCGCCCAGGGGTCGAACCTGGAACCTCCTGATTACTTGATCCATCCGAATGTCTTCAAATAATGAGTCGTAGTCAGACGCGCTGCCATTACGCCAGCGGACCTGTTGTTGCGGCAGGGGACCGAAAGGTTTGGTGAAGAGTCTGCAGTTCTGTTGTGGAAAGTGAAGTGGAAACTGCGGACCCGAATTGAGGGTGTGGTGTCGGGCCACCCTCGTCGATGTGGGCGAAAGAGATTGCAAGACTCCTCCACGATCAGTGACTGATCAGAGACCCCAGGACATTCGGATGGAGTCTAGCAGTACCGCGGATACCGAAGAGCAATGTGATGCTATCTGTGTCGAGAGTCGGACAAAAAGATGATAGTTCCTCACACTCAACCAATGTTTCATTCTTCCAAGGACGGTAGCAGCGTCAGGTAACTTTCGGCATGACGAAATGTGTCAATAAACCCCACTCCTCCCGCCCGGCACCTCCCGTGCTTGGGTAAGCCAAGGTGCGGACCTCCAAGAGCTCCGGAAGCATTGAGGACAGTTATTGTACATTGTCCAGCAAACCAAATCAACACAGCACCAGACACGTTCAATTGCAAATCAAAATGGTACAGTCATCACCGACACACACGGTACAACCTCCTTGACTAAAACCCGGCCCGCAGGGCCTGGAATTTCCCGCCTACGTCCTCGCGGCGCTGACCGCCGCTGGCGGCACCATCGGATATGTGCGGACCAAGAGCAAGCCCAGTCTGATCGCGGGTACCGCGGTCGGTCTGCTCTGTAAGTCATCCGAACTAGTTGTCCCGCGACTCCTCATCCCCGCCCTTCCTAACCACCGTCGTGTATCGCCAGACGGCCTCGGCGGCTACCGCATCTGGAACAACGAGCCCTACGGCGTCGAGCTGGGCCTCCTCGCATCCGTCGTCCTCGGCGGCTCGGCATTCCCCCGCGCCATCCGCCTCCGGAAGCCGGTGCCCATCGCCCTGTCCGTGATTGCCGCGTACGGCTTGTTTACTTTTGGCGATGCGTTCCGCCGCGCGTTGTAGGTGGCGACAACAGGACTCGGAAGCGGTAGGACGAGTTGAATAGGAGAATATCATAATGTACAGCTCCCGGAGCGCTGCGGGCTTCTTCTGGTTTCTTCTGCCACCTAATGTTATACACAGCCGCGACCCGCGACTCGCTCACCGGGTGTCTCGTATCGTACAACGGACCGCGTGCCCCGACTGATCCTTGTGACGCTCCAACCTAGCGTATCTCGCCGCTGCCCGACGCTGTAAACCGATCGCCGGTATTGAAAAGGGGTATCGCTCATAAAAACCGGCCGTGGTCGGGGTGGGTATGTCTTCAGGAGTTCTCGTCGATTTCTCTCTTCTTCTCCCGAATCTTGGACTTCTTATCTGCGACGTTGTTCCGGTTCGAGCTCTGGGTCTTGTACCGCTCGGCCCGCAGGCAAGCGGCGAGTTGATCCTTGGGGTCATTGCACATGCCAATGGATTTCCACAGGAATCCCTTTGCGTGACATTGCTCGAGTGCGATCATCAAATCTTCGCACGCTGAATCCGGGTTTGTGTCAGCTATGATGCGCGCTTTCCTGAGTTGAGTAGCAAATACGAAGACATACCAGAGTTCTGCTTCGTGTGTAATAGGGGATGCATGGTTGGCAGGGGACTTTAGAGGCTTGCGGCGCGAGAAGTCGTGGCAGGTTTGCTCGCGGGATTCTGTCGTGAATTTCTGATGCACATGGTCTGACCGGCAATTGACATTCCCAAAACTGACGGGAGTGGAACAGGCCCTGGGCTGGAAGCTTTGACCACCCCCCGCCGTCTCCCAGTAGATTGGCCCGCTAACTCGCAGGAGCCACAGTGCTGCGATCGCAGAAGTCTCCAGCGGTGCCTGACTGGTTCATCTCGATTCAACAGCAACCCAAGAACGACGTCAAATCTCAAGAGATAGGTAGTCGAGTTTTCTGTTTCTGATAACAGCAGCCATGGCTTCTCAAGCAGCACCGGCCAAGAGGCAACAAGGTAGGACGCGGATCAGCGCATGGTGAAGCCGGTTTCTGACAACAGTTGCAGACCTCCAGGTGCAATACAGCACTTACAAGAACACCCTGCAGCAGATTGCCCAGAAGATTGGTGACGTCGAGCAAGAGGCTGAGGAGCACAAGTGAGAAGATTTTTTTCTTCTTCCTTCACATCGATCCCACGAAACCGGGCCGGCGCCAGGTTTATTCTGGGACTGCTGGCGCCTGTCCCTGCGTTACATGGCCTTGGCTCTCATCACACCGCTTTGCTGCTTGATGCTCGCAACTTCTCACCGCTCATCGCTAACCGCGGCGGCAGGCTTGTTCTCGAGACCTTGGATCCTCTTCCGGGGGATCGCAAGTGCTTCCGCTTGATAAATGGCGTCCTGGTGGAAAGGACGGTCAAGGATGTGGTACCCGCCCTCCGAACGAATGCGGAGGGGCTGAAGAAGGTCCTGGACGACCTGGTCAAGCAGTACAAGGCGAAGCAGGATGAGCTTGAGAAGTGGAAGGTATGGACTGACTGCCCCGCCTGTGCCGTCATACCGCTGGGTCTGACGCCCTCCGCAGAAGAAGAACAATGTCCAGGTCGTGCAGTCATGAAGCTGCCGCGTCCCAGAGAGGCGTTCAAGAGATTCCCTCCGATGCCATGTCATCATGCCACGAGGGTGTGGCCAGCTTGTGCAGATCGAGCGGAGGAAACGGCAGATGTTCAAGACACACCATGCACTGATGTCTTGATGACCCCTCCCACATCGTATAGACGTAGGGGTCAAAGCAAAGGTTGTCCAAGCGGTCGAGCACGGGAAGAGGACCCGAGCAGCAGAGGCAGAGCAAGGTGCGTCTTGCTGCCGAGGCCGATGGCACCTGAAAACTTCTTACCCTTTATTATCCCGAACGCGTGCTGAGTTGTACAAAGCCATGTTGTTTGTGCTGCTGCAACCGAGCGGCATGGACTGCTGCGATGCCCAACCGGCAGCGCGGCCAGACGGTTGGGCTGCGATGGGATTGGGCATGCTGTCTGTGTGGGTGGGGTGGGTCGAGCTGGCGTCGTTGGAAATCGGCAGCAATGAGGGAGAAAGCCCAAACTGAGTGTCCTGGTTGAGTTTGTCGTGACCGGCGGTGCCGGGGAGAGCCATGCTCCCGGCACACTCGGGAAGCACCTACGTTCAACCAGGCAGCCGCCCAGGGAGCTGGCGGGAGATTTGCAAGTTTGATCTGGAGACCATGCCCCAGGTCCTGGATCTCCTCACATTCAACGGGGCGTTCTCCCAATAAGATCACCGAGCCACATCTAAAATCTGTTATTGGCTCGAAATCATGGATTTCACCACCACTCAGAAGCTCGGTTTTCCCAAACACTCGAGGGAAGTCCCCAGCCAGTCATCACCAGACCCAGCCCTTCGGCCCAAGACCCGTTCTCTGGACCCGTTAGGCTCCCTCAGCCTCCTTGTTCCTACCTGCATATTTACTCTGCGACAGCAATTGTCGAATCATGCCCGGTCTTCCCCCACCACCACTGGTCCCCCAACCAGGCCGGGCTGCCAAGAGATCCTTGGCGTCTCAATGCCCACGACATCAAAACATTCATGATCGATTTTTCTTCACTTTCAGCAGCCACTTCGTAACAGTCACCGGGAGGGCGTAGCGCAGCATGTGCAGACGACGGAGTGATCACAGTTCCAGCCTCCCCACTGGCACACACCTCGGCTGTGACTTTCACCGCTCTTGACGGGAGGGAATTGAGATGGAGTCGCAAGCCTGTGTTGCAGCAGAACTAGCCCGTCCTGGATTTTTACACCACCCTTTTCCATTCTTGGCCTCCAGCGCTTGCTTATGAGTTGATTGTGCATTGGGTCATTGAGACCCAAGGCATCTCGAGATACGAGGGAAAAGATGGACGGGTGCCAGCCTTAGACGCAGTTCAACGCCACGTGCTTCTCTGCTCGTCTGTCAACTTTGCGGCAACAGGTTGATGTGGATTCAACCCCAGGCGCTTACGTCGGGTCCAGTTGAGCCAAGAGCCACTAGATCCCAATGTCGGTCTCGAATGAGGGACCCAAAACGCACAAGGTAACTGAACCGTTCGGTATACACTATGAGCAGAGTTAAATGAACGGGGTCAGGCGGGTTTTGTACGGTAAAATCAGCCCTGCGTGTGAGGTGGTCGGAGCAGCGGCATGACGGGGTGGTCTTGCGTTTCTGGCATGGAAAGAAGCACGTCTCTTGGCGGTGGAGCTTGTTGTCATGGCCGGGGTCAGGAAGCTGGGCCAGGACCCGCTTCTCCCGCATTCCCTCTTTTCACCCGACCTCCATCTTCCCACCGCAACAACCCCACGCGCGCGCCCTGCAGCCTCTTGCATCCCAGTTTTCCCGTGCATCGCAGACCCAAGCTCGACACTAGGTCCGGCCAACGCAGACACCACCCACTCGGAGCGCACACAGCACCGAAACTAGACCCGCGACCGACAGAAACAGCCCCGGTTTATTGCTCTCGCCGTCACTGGTACAAGCCGCCAAGGTACGTTCTGGTAGCCATGCGCGCAGGGCCTGGCAGCGCCGCGCATCACAGGGCCGTCGCGTCGCCGGTAGCGGGGACTGCACCACTCGCTGCGCTGCTGGACTCCGCTTTGTCGTCGTGCAGACACACTTTGGCAAACCTTCACCCCCCCGGACAAGCACCGGTCTCTGACGCGACTTTGCAGACATCCCACGAGGCACGCAATCAAGGCCGTGGCAGCACAGCCAATCTCCTGTCTCCGCAACTCGAGGCCGTCCTGCTCGGTGCCGGCCGCACCCAGCCAACCGGCTATCACATCGCACTGCTGGTGTAACGGCAACAGGAGAGCAACACAAAGAGACACCACGCGCAGTCGAGCCCGGCGACACGGAACACCGCTGCTCGCCCGATCGGACCACTCCTCCTCTGGTTTGGTACACCGGCCTGCCCGCCCTCTCCCCGCAGCAAGGCGATCCGGCGCGCAGCCAGAGACATTCCAAGGGTGCCGCTCACTCTGTCGACCACTGGTGACAGGGCCTGCAGTTTCGCATCCCACACCCCCGTGCACCCCTTCCGGTGCAGT